TTTTTTGTGAGTCCTCCCTGCTCTTTGCAGCCTTAAGCGGCTTCAGGTTAGACATCTGAGAGGACAAACCCACAGCCACTGAGGCTGTGCAGGCAGCCAGGACAGAACGCGTAATTGGACACATTGTAATTTGGTTGAGGCCCCAAAAGCCAACCCTTCCGGGTTAAGCGTCAGAGCTGTCTGGCGCCTGACCTGAAAGGACGCAGCTTTGGGAGCTTCGGGACTCGGTCTGATCCAAAGATTCCCGGTATGGAGACTCGCCAAGACAACTGCCACGGTTCCAACAAGATGCTGGGTCTGGGGGCTGCTGAGGACCAAGAACAACAGCATGGTCAGTAAACGGGTTCTGACCGGACTTTGGTGAGGTCCGGAAAGCAGATCTGCTGGAGAGGCCATTCCCTTCGGTTAGCCAGCCCTGCCTGTGGCCCCTCTCCAGGCTTTCCAATGGTCCCTGGGCCACGAAGCTCAGATCTTTATCTTTGTGTTTCTCTCCCTTTCAGGTGGGAATGCATTGGTCTTGAAGGCCGAAGAGGAAGGAGGCAAGAAAGGGCTTGTAGAGAGCAAGCTTGCTCAGGGTGAGCTTGATCAGGGCGAACTTGCTCTGGGCAACCTTGCTCCGGGCAAGCGTGCTCAAAAAGAGCCTGCTCAGCTTGGTCTTGCTGAGGAAGCCGCAGCAGTGGCAGAGGAGGGAGAAAACAGAGAAGAAATGGGAGGAAGACAAGCTGGCGATGGGAGCTCTAGCCCCGTGGCCAAGGGGATCCAAGGAGAAGGCGGCCATGGCGGCTGTGATCAGCAACAGCCTCAGCAAGAGGCTGTGATGCCTGAGGGCAGCAGGAGTCTGCAGGCTGTGAACAGGCGGCCTGTCCAGCGCCGCACCAGATTCACCCTGTCTCAGCTGCAGGATCTGGAGCATCTTTTCCAGGAGACTCGCTACCCCAGCTTGCGAGCAAGGTAAGCACAAGTATGCCCCGCTAGGCTCCTGGTTTTCAGGCAGCACATCCTGTCCATGGTGTCCTTTGGCGCTCCCCGTTCCTCTGATTTGCTCCAGAAAGAAAGCCACCCAACTTGACCCTCCACCAGAAATCGCATTGGGAAAGAGGGGCATGGGCCCTAGAGTGTGTTTTGTTGCATGTTTAAGAGACACATGAGTGGCAAATTTAGACAATGCTTGTTCTGAATGAGTCTCTGTGCCGATGAGTGAGAAGCCTCAGGTGCGGCTGGGAAAACGCAGGAGGGATTCCACCGCAGATTAAAATTTTGATAACTCCTTTCATGGTGCAGGCTCCCTTAATGAAGCTTACATTTTAAGTACATGGACTGGGTACCTGTGCATGGGGGAATCACCTGTAATTTTGGTCCCTGAAAGAAGCCTGCTGATAAAACATGTCTCAGAGCTGGCATGAAGAGGGGTGTGTGTGTGTGCATGTGTGCATGTGCGTGCCTTTGTGTGTGTGTGTGTGTGTGTGTGTGTGTGTGTGTGTGTGTGTACACGTGCGTGTTATCCAGTGTGGACCCAAACTTTTCAAAGCAAGTAGGGCATGTCCTTACATACTTTATTTCCACCACAAAACCTAAATAGTGGAATCTTTTCACTTCAGGAAGGATCTAGCAAGATGGATGGGTGTGCCGGAAGCTGACGTGCAGGTCAGTATCCTAAAAAATAATCTGTTGAAAGGGCCCCATATCTTGTGATGTCACTGCCTAGAAGAGAAGTGTAGCAGCCGAGTGGGAGCAGGAAGTGACAGACAGGCTAGGTTCAAGATGGTGCAAGACCTCCATTTTCTCTGGCAGGGAAGGCCTAGCTGGACAGCTGGAAAAGGAAGATGTCAAGGTGCTCTCTTTCTCTGTCCCTCTTCGGACACAGGGTGTTCTCCATGAGAAATTTGTGCAGCCCAAGTGGGTCACAAAGTGAAGAGACCGTGTCCTTGCCCACCTTCAACTTTTTCCCTCTGCATGTCTCAGGAAACCGTTTTCAGACCACTCCTTGCTCCGATCTGTAAATATCGGATGCCTGGCTTAGTGCTCAAGCAGTACTGCGACCAGGGACCTCAGACTACCCAACGCTCTTTTACCTGAATTCTGTTGGTTCTGTAGATGCACTCTGATCACTATTACACTGAGCCCTGGCTTTCCAGACCATATGCCCACAAGGGAAAATGCCTATAGGCAGTATGCTGGGAGTCCAGGAAGGAAAAATGGAGCAGGAAGAAGTGCCTTTGTCTCATAAAATGTCCATTCTGGGTGCTCCCAGAAGCTGACATTGTGGAGCCTCTGCCGGACAGCCTCAGGCTGTCCCACGTTCCATGGAATAATTTTGGATACTTTCCCCCCAGTAAGGGCCAGGAAGAACCCATCAACTAGATCTGCATCCTTTGCTGGAAGAACGCATTCCAAATATCAGTTGATGGAGAAGAGGCAATATTCTGGGTCTCTTCCACAGCTGAAGGACTGACTGGGTGTAGCATTGCATGTACTCAGGGGCTACTTGGGGGGGTTGTTTTTTCAATGATAATGAAACCTGTTGCTTCCAGCCTTACGAAAAATCAGTATACACTTGAGGTAGGTGCTCAAGGCTTCATGGGGTTAGACCAATAAACAAATAGATTCTGGGCAGTGGAGAGATGGAGGGCTTTGCTACCTGAGAAGCTCAGAGCCAGAGGATGTACCTAGCTACACCAGGATGGGCTCCATATACCTTCTGAAATGTTAGTAAAATTGAGGCAGCGTGGAAAGAAACCGGATGTGTTCTTCAGCCCTGAAACACTTCTATCCACTTCAGTGTACTGACACAACCCTTTCTTCTGGTTCTAGGATTGGTTTCGAAACAGGAGAGCCATTTTCAGGAGGAATGGTAGAATATCCATGCTGAGCGATATCATACATGGTCCCCCGAGCAACGATGCCTAAAGATTTTGAAGCAGCACTTGAGTGCCATCCCTGTCCAGGAGAAAGATGTCCTGGAGCCTGTCCCTGCCACCAATGTCTCGGCCATGCATACTGGCCATGACAACCTTTTCTTCCCTGAAATATTTTCTGCAATAAAGAGCTGCATTGTCGATATATTGGGTCCTTTGTTTTTGAGGTTACTGAAATGTGGGCATAAGTATTTAATGATAGTCGTCGCTTCCAGAAATGACATTTCAGTCATAAGGTGACATTGGCATGCAGCAATCACTGTGCCTTGTGGGGTGAGGAAGATTTCCAGGTGTCCTGCTGATTCATGCTGACCCCACACAGTGCTCTACCCCTCCTCATGGTCTTGTCAACTCAGTCAATCTCTGTGGAAGAAGTTAATTACAAGGACAGACGGGGCAAGTCCACCGTAGAGGACAGGCTGTTTCTGGACATGGCTGTTCCCACCCACACTCCAGCAAGTCCCACCCTGGACACGGTTGGAGACTTGTCCCAGGTTTGGTGGCAGGAGGAATGGTAACCTTGTGTGTGCTTCCCCCCTTTCTGGGGACTTCCGGGCACCAGGAACCACACTGGCCAGAGTCCTGCTGCTTCAATGGGAGGGAGGAGTTATCCATCCAGGTTTCTGTCTCATGTCTGCCATTCCAGCTCAATGAGCTTGTGCTCTCATGCTCAACCTCTCAGAGACCTTGACTGATAGGTCCTCTGTCTGCATTTTGTCACCTGACTCGGAGAAACCTCAGTACTCATGATATAGGGGACCTCTGCCTCATAGCAGCTGAAATTCATAAAAAAGGTTGTTCCAGAACCACCGCTTAGTGCATAGGAAAGGGACAATGCTTCTTTCCATACGTGAAGAAGCTGCAGTTCCAAATAAAAAGTCCATCTTAGTGAGATGAACAGGTGTGGCATAGGCTTGCAACCCCAAACTTCCTGCACGATACTGTCCCCATATCTGGTCTCCAGTCCTTGAAACCACAGTCTATTTTCTGTCTCTGTGAATTTGTGTGCTCCAGGAACCTCACGGGCTGAGACATATGCTATTGTGCCTTAGGGTCTCTATGTTGTCTCCCAGCATGGTGATTTCAGAACCCTTCCTGTAGTAGCAGGCATCAGAATTTCACTTCGGGGCCAATGCCCGCATTTGACATCTCCCTTTTACATGTCTAGCAAATAATATTTCTGCACAGAAAAGCACCTCCCGACTTCCTCATGGTCCCCGTGCCCGTGAACCAGGGGTACGATAGAGACATCCCATTTGGACCCCAGGGCTCTGCAGTCTCTTACTTGGTGCTGTACAGTGAACAACCAAGGGTGTCTGTATTAAACATCATCTACTGCAAATCAAATGCACTGTGGTGGCCCGAAGACACCATGCACATGGCGGTGTACAAGGCTGGCAGGCCCAGCAGCCTTGGATCCCCTGTTTGTCTTTAGTGAGGAAGAGCAGGAAGGGGCTCTATAAGGAGAAATGAAGTCTCAGCACAGCCCCTGCCCCCAGGCTGTGAACTCAGTGCTCAGCTCTCACAGTCCCATCGGGTTTTGGAATAGTCTGAAAAGGGATCTCAGTCTTGTAAGGATTTAGTGGAAGCCCTGGCTTCCAGGGGCCTCAGCAGGTCTCCAGGGAGCCTGAGCTCCTGGCTGCTTCCAGCTTCCACAGTTTCTCCACAGCAAGAAGACTTGCTCCCCCAGTGAGGCATTCTCCTTCCCCACCCCCTCCCCAGGGACTGCTGCAGCCGCCACTCCCACCAGGGCCTAGGCTCCTAACTGACTCCTGGATGGTGTTGTGCAATCATCTTTATCTTAAGATAATCGGCAAGTTTTCATGGTGGGGACCAGAGTTGGGGAAGCAGAGAGGGAGAGAGATAGGTTCACTGGGAACCTGGAGATATGGGAATAGGTTTCCTGAGACTTCACATGTGATGATACAGTAAAAACGATTTCCCTGAGTTCCATTAGGTCACTTGTCACCAACCTTGCAGATGCAGGGTTACCTGCTGAACTCTACTCCCTCACGCCACATCCAGGCATCAGTCATTTCACGGGGGCCGATGCTCCATGAACCAGACCTGGGGGTGGCATCTTACATCTCAGCAGACTGTGGATTCTCACCCTGTAGTCCTCGGTGTGGAACTGGGATGTGCTGTTGACACCCTTCCTGGGGAGACTGGGGTAGCATGAACTAATATCTGCTAGGTCCAGCTGAAGCTCTGGAGCCACTTCCTTCCTGTTTTTCAACCATCTCACCTGACTTATGAAATGTTCCACCTGCATTTGGAATGTCTTATGTCTTCAGGAGCCTTTCTGCAAGATGGAATGTCTTATCTTGGAGGAAATTGCTACACAACCTGTGTACCCACCAGCAGGCCCAGATCCTGTTGAGGCATGCTCTAAGTGACCACATGCCTGCCTCAAGTTCTGGCTGGCCTTCCTATCAATTAGATGAGGCATCCATTTTCTGTAGTTCACAGTACTGTGCAAGGGATAACCAGTTGGAGGGTGTGTGTGTGGGGGGGGTCAGGTGCCTTTACAAAACATGGACAGAGCTTGTGGGGAGACCGGGTAAACACATATTCAAAATGGTTCTATATCTGTGTCTAAGCGAAACAGCTTTCATTGCATTAGGAGGAGAAGACTTTCTGCTGTTCCTTGAGGAAATTCTGCAAACATCCCTTCACCCACAGGGCCCTTCCTCCTGAGGGCACCATGCTCTGTTGCTAGTGACTTCCCTCGGGCATTTGGACTTACTAAAGTTGGAGCTCCATAGTCAGGGGCTCAGAGATCCCTATCTTACTGCTGAGTTTCTCGTGCTCATAAAATACTTTCCACCTGCTTACTGCACTCTGAACATACCGCCAAGCAGGGTCAGTCTACCTTCTGGATCTTTCTCTCAAGGCTTTTCAGGCAGAAGTAGCTATGCTCCATATCCCCCCCCACCACCACCGCAATAAAAGAATTGCTATTGTCTCAAAAACAACTACCTACTTCAGTTGGTTAATATCTAGCCTTCTTCGACAAGGATTTCTTTATTCAGACATGGTATTCACATTTACGGGCTTTTTATCCTACAGTATACATAGGGTTCCTGGAGGCTCTCCAGCCATGCTGTAGCTCTGCCTACAGCTAAGCCTACGTTTCTAGTCTCTCTCTCTCTCTCTCTCTCTCTCTCTCTCTTACAATTAGTTAATTAATTGAAAGCCAGACATTTCTAGATACACTGGTGAGCCTCGGGAGGGTGTAAAAGTGGGATAGCAGGACACTAGCCCCAACTGATATACATGGTAAGTTCGGGATAAAGTGAAATTCAGGCTATCCTGGAATACAAAAGAGATTGTCAAAAACACAAAGAAACCATCCACAGGACACGATTGCATATGTGTCTCTGGTTGTAGTAACACCCCACACCAAAGGCAGCACACTGAAACACTGCCAATGAGAGCAGTCAGTCTTCCACAACAACAGCACACTATTTATCCTTTATTCACTTATAATGCCTATGGTGCTTGCTCTGCCCAGGTCACTGTACAAATGTGCCCTCAACCGTAAGTGGTTCATTCTACAACACAAATAGTATAGTTACTCATGCAGTGTCAGCATTTCCAGATTCTTTATTCACTTATAATGCCTATGGTGCATGCTCTGCCCAGGTCACTGCACAAATGCGCCCTCAAACGTAAGTGGTTCAATCTACAACACAAATAGTATAGTTACTCATGCAGTGTCAGCATTTCCAGATGTGAGAAGCAGTGGACAGATGTCAGAGATGGTGCCTAATGCAGTGTCTTTAACGGCAAACTGGAGTATTTTAACTTTGTCAAGGGTTTCATTGGGTTACTTGCAGTAACTTGTTGCCCAATACACTGTAGAATGAGACCGAAAATGCCCCTGATGAAGCTGTGGGTCCTTGACTGGCTTGGGCTTTCAGAGTCCTAGAAGGCTCTTGAAGCAGACACACAGAGAGCTGACCACATAGACTGAATTTTCACCACATGGGACATACAGACTTGGAAAAGTGGAGTCTGGAAGAATGAGAAATTCTCCAGTTGTTCACCCAAGGCTTGTGTGCTCATTGTGAGTTTTCCCCTCGTCTTCCCCACACTCCATGCTAAAATTAGCTTTCCGATATTGCGTAACCGGGTTCCAAAGGTCCCTTTTGGGGTCCAAGAGCCAGTTCTGAGCAGGGCTATTAAAGGTAAGATTCAGTGTGAGCGAGTAACCCTTTGCCCCCTACCCCATCCTTTGGACCATGCGCTAACCCATTCTCACTTCAGAGCCCCACCCACCGGGGTGGGTGGGAAGCACTCAGAAAGCCAATAGCAGTCTTGGAAGAGGAGGACCTGAGCCTTTGTGGCCCCAATCTACTAAAGCCCCCAGGGCAAGGCTGCTGCCATAGACCCCCCACCAGGGTGCAGGTCTCCAGGCTTCCAAAGAGCAGCAGCCATGGAGCACCTCCTCAACTACAATGACAACTTCTACTATCTTCTGCAGGACTCTGTGGAGGGCAGCAGCCCCCTCCCTGAGCAGGGGGCAGCAGCGCAAAGGGATGTTAAAATCTCTGAAGGAGCTCTAAGCCTGGACAGCAGTGAGAACCAACAGGACAACCAGAGCCTGGGAGGCTACGAGAGCCCTTCTAACAACCCGGGTCCTGAACGTGACCAGAGCACCCAGGAGCCCATAGAGCTGCGCCCAGAAGAGCTAGCCCTTGAGCTCGCTGAGGTTCCAAGGCGCCGTCTCAGGAGGCGCCAAATCGACTTCCACTTCACACATTGGCAGGTGCAGGAAATGGAGACGGTTTTCCGGGAAACCCAGTACCCGGATGTGCTCACAAGGTATGTGGCTGGCACCAGGAGTCATTCGGTGGCTAGTGTTCATTTTGACATGGCTTTTAGCCCTTTTGAGCCCTGTCATCCCCATTAATCTTCACACCACGGGCAGCTCCTCCCCCATGATGGGAGGGGGGAAGATGCTCTGTGACATTGAGGTCAATGTTTGCATGCAGTGATGTCTTGACACAACAGTACTTGCCTCTCATGGCTCTCTATCTCATTTCTCAACCGTGGTGCAACACAGACAAATGAAACTCATGTCAGATCTCAAGCTTTTCTGACGCTCTAGATTGCTACCATGCCAAGTGTCTCTGGGATGTGTTCTACAGGACTCCAGAAGTCTGTTCCTCTTGACAAACTGTATCAAAATTTTCCCTTCTCCTCTGCACCAGAACTGACATCTTCCTTCCTTCCTGTGTAAACAGGAGTACTCTGGAGGTTCCTGAGATGGCGCTCAAGGTCCTTTTTGTGACTATCTGATTTGACTGGGTTCTCAGGCTTTCCAGCTGTAGGTCTGCTGGTGCTCAGCTCTCTTTGGTCTGAAAGTCACAACACTGTATCAACATACACTGTCTTTGTTTCAGAATCCTTCCTCTTGGAGGTCAGTGTTGTTTGTGCCTTGAGGCTTAGGGGAGTGGGATTGCTTTTACCTGAGTGACAAACACCTCTTCAGCTCCAGGCTTCTGGTGTTTGCTGTGTAAACTGTGAAATGGAGTTACTGGATCCAGTCTTTTAGTGATCAGCGCTTTTCCTTATCTAGTGCACGAGTTGGGGTTTCCACCCAGGATAGAAGCTTCCAGTGTTCTCTCCTTCCTCACCAGCACTAGTCATTTGCCCCTTGATTTTATGAGCTACCACAGGGGGTGAGAGATTGTGACAATATTCTTTTCAGACACTTTTTCCTATACTGTGGTTGCCTTGTCATTTTCATTTGCTTGTCAATGGTGAGGGTTGAAGGGGGGGGGGTATGCTGTATAGGCAGTGCACTAAAGCTACAGCCACCTTTTTCCTGGTAGTTAATAATAAGGGGAGTGTTATTTTCGTATATGGACTTTCTTTGGAGCATTGGCTGAAATAGAATCCAGAATGTACACCAGTCGATCTTGATCTTGAGGCTGTCCTCCCTCTGGTTTTTCAAGTTCTGGGGATACAAATCTGGGGCCGGTTACCTTGGCTACCAGCCTTCTCTTAATGGTGAGATAGGGTCTGTCTAGATTCCTTAGGGTGACATTGACCTCCAGGTTGAGCCTACCAAGCCTTATATTGTGACCCTTCTGCCTCAGTTTCCCAAGTTGCTATAATTACACATCTCTAACATCAGTTCTGGCTATGACTCCCGATTGTGTGATTCTGTCAGTTATACATAGAAGCTTATATTGTTTTTTTTCAAAGCAGGGTACCTCTGTGTAGCTCTGTAGACCAGGGTGGCCTCGAACTCACAGAGATCTGCCTGCCTCTGCCTAAAGGCTTGTGTCACCACCACCCAGGTTGGAATCTTGTGTTGTTGGTGCAGTCTATTGACCCATTTTCTCCCCATGTCCTCGCTCCCCACTCCTGCATGGTGTTTGCATTAGGCACTAAACATAATTTACTGGATGCAGAGTCAGGGGAATGAGAATTGGCAGCCATGCAGACTTCCCATCTTTCCTACGTGTTCCTAGGTTTAAAATTTTCCATAACCTCTTCATAGACTTGTGCCTTTGTGTTCATTTAGAAAATACGGAAGCAGAGTCAGGGGAATGAGAATTGGCCGCCATGCAGACTTCCCATCTTTCCTACGTGTTCCTAGGTTTAAAAATTTCCATAACCTCTTCATAGACTTGTGCCTTTGTGTTCATTTAGAAAATACTTCATTAAAAAATCATTTGTGGGAGCTCAAGTTGTCTTGACCACCAATGTACAACAAAACGCTTAATGAGGAGATGATGTGCAACCTTTGGAAAACGTGCGTGGCTTTGTCTGCCAGTGACTGTGAGGAGTTGAGCAGGAGGACAGAGACTGATACAATTTCAAACTGTTTCCAGCCTGTGACTTTTTTCCTAACCATGACTAAAGAACTTTTTGTCTTTCTCTACACAGGAGGGTGCTTGCCAGAAACATGAATGTGCCTGAAGTCAAAGTGAAGGTCAGTAAATCTGAGAAAGCACGGTGTGGGCAGTCCATCTATAGGATGCTTCATGGCCCACACCAGGTGTCCTGGGTCTTTTTCTGTAGGTGTGTATTTTCTGTCTTTCTTATGATGGCAACCACTGACTTCACTATTGGAATGTGGAGGAACGACACTCCAGCTAGTGTTGCTTGCCCATTCCTGGAGGGAAAGTGACTTCCTGGTGGAAACAGAAAACCAAAGAAACCCTATGCTGCTCATACTCTGTGTGCAAAGCCAAGGTCTTTCCACAGCATAGAGTCTATAATTACATATATGTAGAATACATACCTGTGAGTGCACAGCTATTCATCCAGTGATTCATGTTTAAATCCTTCAACACTATTGTCTTTTACAGGGAATTTTTGTGGAGTCATATCAGGGCTGAGTATGTTGTTGTAGATATTCAAGATGATGCAGGATCAAGCCAGGCTGTCAAAGGATTCAGTAATGTTAAATTACTAAAAATTAGCGATGTGCACTTTGCGAAAGGAAAACATATGAGCCATCGGGGCAAGAGAGCAATTTGCCCATAGAAACCACATAGGGCCACCTGATGCTTGTTAAGGAGAGACTGCTGTGGTAATAGGGGCTATCAAAGGATTCAGTGATGTTAAATTACTAAAAATTAGCTATGTGCACTTTGCTAAAGGAAAACATATGAGCCATCGGGGCAAGAGAGTAATTTGCTCATAGAACCCACATAGGGCCACCTGATGCTTGTTAAGGAGAGACTGCTGTGGTAATAGAGCTTCATAGCCCAAGTGGTTGGTCCTCGTCCTCTGTGAGGCTGCACGAGATGGCAGAACTCAATTTTAATTTGGGGATTGTTTAACCATTGAGGTGTTACCTCTACGTGAGCACATACCAAAACTGTCCCAATAGCAGTGGAAGAGGGCAAGCATTAATGGCCTTGCAAACTTGTCTAAGGAATGAAACAGTTAAAACCAGTGATGCTGAATTAATTAGAGGAAACCCTGCATCGGTGAATATGATACCAGTAAACCTGTACCTTGGAAATCACCTTAAGATTGCATGTGTCTTGTACCTAGTCTGTTCCAGAACTTGGCACAGAGCTGCTGCTCTCCCTGTGGGATGTGAAGGTGCGGGCAAGCTGGGACTCTCAGAAAATAGTGATTGCTGCTGTTCTTTTCAGTTGCCAGGGAAGAAGGCAGGCTTACACAGGGTCTAGCCATGTCCTCCAAAACTGAGCACACCCTGCCTGCCTCTGCGCTGGGTGGTTGAGCATTTTGAAGAGAGCTTCTGCTATGAGGTTTACAATGCCAGTGACATAGCATGTGTTCCAGTGGTGTGTCTCTTTCCATGAAAGTGCCAGCTTGCTGAGACGTTTCCTGCTCTCCTCTTTCAGAATTGGTTTAACAACAGGCGAGCCAAACAGAGGGCAAGGGAGAAGAAAGCAATGCTCAGGAGGGCACCGCCTGGGATCCAGGAGCACATTTGCATGATGGACCCTGAGGAAGCCTAGGGTGCCCTCCTCATTCAGGAGCCACATGCAGATGGGCTGTTTGGTGACACATGAGAGAAGATCATCGCCTTTCTCTGTATCCTTGACACTGCTTTACAGCAACAATAAAGACAAAATTTCATTGGATTTTCACAGGGTCTAGCCATGTCCTCCAACTGAGCACACCCCGCCTGCCTCTGCGTTGGGTGGTTGAGCATTTTGAAGAGAGCTTCTGCTATGAGGTTTACAATGCCAGTGACATAGCATGTGTCCCAATGGTGTGTCTCTTTCCATGAAAGTGCCAGCTTGCTGAGAGGTTTCCTGCTCTCCTCTTTCAGAATTGGTTTAACAACAGGCGAGCCAAACAGAGGGCAAGGGAGAAGAAAGCAATGCTCAGGAGGGCACCGCCTGGGATCCAGGAGCACATTTGCATGATGGACCCTGAGGAAGCCTAGGGTGCCCTCCTCATTCAGGAGCCACATGCAGATGGGCTGTTTGGTGACACATGAGAGAAGATCATCGCCTTTCTCTGTATCCTTGACACTGCTTTACAGCAACAATAAAGACAAAATTTCATTGGATTTTCTTTCTGCTTTGTAGAACGTAAGTGCAAAATGTCCTCTCTAAGTAAGATTCAAACACCTTGGCAACAAAGTCTCTTTCAGCAGGTGGCATGCCTGTGTCACCTGCAGTAGTCCCTGCACCACACAGTAGTTTCCTGGTCTTACTGCATTTACATGGGATGTGCTTTGTTGTTCTCTAGCTGTTACTGGTGCTCTCCTCACCCCTATTCTGACCATCTAGGACCAGAATCGTGTTCAGGGTCCTCTTTGTCCGAAATAGGTGGACAATGCGTTTTCAGGTAGCACCACCTCTTGCCCACAAAAGTGAATCTTCTGAAAGCCAGTCATGGGATGCATGAGAACACGCAAGCAAGCATCCATGCTCCTGTTGGATCCCTGTCCCTTCTCTCTGCAGCGCTACTATGTGTGGAGCACACTTGCTGTGAGGATACACTGTGAACAGAGATCCTGCTGCTTCAATAGGAATCTCCAATGGTTGTCCAACCATTCCAGGGTGGAGGGAGGCATCCTTCTCTTTTCTCCTAACCCTCGGCCAACAAGAAATATTTGTCCATAATTTCGAACCTCATATCACTGAAATTTATAAATGGAATTCATAAATTGTTCCATTTCTCGCTGATGTACAGGGAAATGGAGACATTAGAACTGGTCAATTTAAAAGACAACGTCTTTTTGTTGTTGTTGTTGTTTTAAGAGAATGTGTTTTGAGAGATGTGGAGCTCAAACTCATTTCAAAAGTGTGGTGGTCTGTGTTTCTATTGTTATGAAGACGCACCACTACCATGGCAACTCTTCATAAGGAAAATATTTAACTGAGAGGGCACGCTGCAGTCTCAGACGTTTAGTCCTTTTTCATCAAGGCAGTACAGGGGGTCATGCAGGCAGACATGGAAACATGCAGGCAGACACGGCGGCATGCAGGCCGACAGGATGTTGGAGAAGGAGCTCAGACTTCTACATCTTGATCTACAGGACCCAGAAACAACACTGTGTTACACTGGATGTAGCCTAAGCAGAGGAGACCTCAAAAGTCATCCCCCACAGTGACCCACTTCCTCTAAGGACACACCCTTCAACAAGGCCACATCTCCTAACACTGCCACTAACTATGTGGAGTAGGGAGACAGCATAACCATGCCTCCTAAAGGCTGGCTACAGGTGTGTCCCCTCACTCTGATCAGGGTGTGGCCAAGGTGATGTCAGGTTGATGTGGGAAAGGTTTAAGGGATAGCCAATGCACGTGGCAGCTCTTTTCCCTGCTGCTTTGGCTTGCTCTGCTTGCCTGCTGGTTGGCTACCTAATCAATATATATCCTGACCATCACGGGCTATGTATTAGTTATTAACCACAATAATGTGGGCCATTATCTCTCCAATCACCAAATTCCACACCCTTCCCCCATAGGATTGTACACATATCCTAGTGGAAAAATGCACTCAGTCCACTTCAAAAGTCTACCTAGTCTATAGCATCCTCAAACTTCTGTTCCACAGCAATGTTTCAAGCTTCTTCTGAGATTCATGGAGTTTCTTAACTGTAATTCTCTCTAAAATCACAACGCAGACCACAAAGGCCAACATATGGTGGCACAGGATATACATCTCTGTCCTGAAAGGAGAAAACAGAGGATGCTGAGGAAATATTGACCATAGCTGGGCCTAAAACCAGCTGGGCAAACTCTCTTCTCTATGTCTCCATGTCTGATGTCAAAAATGTTCTTCAGATCTCCAATTCCATTCAGCTTTGTTGACTGCAACACACTTCTCTGTCTTGGGCTGGTTCCACTCCCTGTTATCAGCCTTCCATCACAGGTATCCTATGATGCTACCATCTCCAAAATCTTGGGGTCTCCAAAGCAACCCAGGCTTCAATTTCACAGATTCACATAATGGCCTCTCTATGGCTCCATTCAGAGACACCCCTAAGACATGCCTGGCCTCGGCGGTTTTCCTTGGTCTCAGAGGAAGTTTGCACAAACCCGTTCCTCTCTAATTGACTCTAAAGCCAGAACCATGTCACCGTAGCTGCCAAGTTCCCTTGCTCTCTAGGACAGCATTCAATTACATCTTCATTCAATTACATCTTCACCAGCTTTCTGTTTTTCATGGCATCTTTCACAAGCTGCCAAGTTCCCTTGCTCTCTAGGACAGGAAAATGCCCCCCTCATTCAATTACATCTTCACCAGCTTTCTGTTTTTCATGGCATCTTTCACTAGCTTGCATGCCTGTCCTGAAACTGGACCTGTAGACCAGGCTGGCCTTAAACTCCAAGATCCACTGCCTACCAACTACAGGGTTTAATGGCGTCCCCCACCACCCCTGGCTCTCCGGTTTTCTATACTTCTTTTCACAATTGGAGACTCAGCTGGCTGGGGGCTCCCCCGGAATCCATGATTCCCTTCATCCCATTTCTTAGTCTGTTTATCTCCTGAACACAGGCCTTACCCTCATCCCACTTCCTGGTGTTCCTTTCACCTCCAATAATGGTTTATGTATTTTTGTTTGCTCAGCTTCCTCCTTTTCACTGTGAATCTTCATTAGAGGTACAACCTATAACCAAAAAACAGTGTCTATACTAGGCTGTTTTCAGACTTCCTCTGCCAAGAGAATTAATTCAAGTCTCCTCACTTTAGCCTCAGGCAGACTCTTTGGACGAGGTCAAATGACAGCTATATTCTTTACAAATAACACAAGAAGGATATCTAGGTCAGATACTAAAGTTCTCCGTTTAAATCTCTTGAGCCAGGACCTCACAGTCACAATCCCCCTCACCACCACTGTCTTCCATGTTCTTACTAGTTTTGCCCACTTAGCAACTTTTCACTGGTCAGGCCTGTGGCACCAATACCCCAGTCCTTGGTACCAACTTCTGTGTTAGTCAGTGCTCTATTGCTGTGAAGAGACATCGTGACCACAGCAACTCTTAGGAAGAAAACACTAATTGGGGGGATAACAGGTTCAGAGATTTAGTCCATTATCTTCATGGCAGTGTGCAGGCAGACAAGGTGCTGGGGAAGGAGCTGGGAGTTCTTCATCTTGATTGGCAGGCAGCAGAAGCAACTGTGTGTCACACTGGTGGTAGCTTGAGTATAGGAGACCTCCAAACTTGGCCCTCACAGGGACACACTTCCTCTGAAAAGGCTACACTTACTCTAACAAGCCCACATCTAATCGTGCCACTCACCACGGGGGACATTATCTTTAAAACCAGCACAGCTAGGATGAGTGAAGTTCTGATCTTGCCTGTAACTCGTGGTGATCAGATAACAGGCATCAGGAAAAGGGACACCCACTTGGCTTTAGGCAGTGCTAGTGACAGAACCCAGGGCTTTCTGTGTATGAGGGAAGTGCTGCCCCACTGTACACAGGATCTCATTCCCAACATGGCTGACTTTACAAAAGTCACCAGAACTAGAAATTAGAAAGTCTCATCCTCCCTAGACCTTGTCAAGTGAAGTTTCAAAGACAAAGGACTGGGAATGTATGTGCTCAGATTTAATAGTGAGGTAGTGCCCAGAACTGTGAAGTAAGTCTTTTGATAGAAGGAAAACTCCAACTCAGGCGCCAGGACTCCCATCTGTTCCCAGAACAACAACAACAACAACAACAACAACAACAAAGGAACAGCCTGGTCAAAGGACATTTCATTAGTGCCCTTCTATTCTCAGTGTGACCAAAACTTGCTGGGAGAAGTGACTACTATGTGGCTTCCAAACTCAGAGGATCCACTAAGCCCATGCCACCAGTAAATAAATGAGTATTAGAGAGCACGGAATTTACTCCAACCCAAGACATCTGTAACTCCCCAATTGTTCAGCTCAACTTTTCCCCAAATGACTATGGCTACTGTAAAAAGGGTGCTGCATACGCTATGTAAGATATTTACATCCGGGTTTCAGCCAGAAAAGCAGAACAAGGAGCAGATGATTCTGTGGGCGTGTTTTGTCACAGTTTCTCAAGACTGGGCTCTGCATGGTCATGTTCCCTTGAAGGAGAAGTGGTTTTCAAGTGATAGAAACATGGTGTGTTTCATGGAGGATTTGACAGATGACTGCTTCATGGTTCATGTCACCATGAAGTGTCAGATAGCCCTCTTTCTTAGGAGCATGTCCTTACAAGAAGTCATCAAACATTTGAAAGAATGGCAATCAGAAAAAACTGCAACACTGCACAAAGCATGTACACCACTGCAGATCCGGCAATATGTCACTTGCTACACAGCAGGGATTACAGTGTGGGTGGCTTCTTATTTCCTCAGGACAGGATTACAATGAAGATGACCACAACTATACCTTGAACACTAAATAGACTCCCTATTCATTATAAAAAAGATCAGAGATTATCTGTAGGACAGAGAATCCTGCAGACCCTCAAAATTGTTATTCAAACTCTGCATTTCAGAGTCACCAAGAGAGACTCCACAAAGACCCTAAGACA